CTGCCACAGAGCAAACAAAGGCTCCCAACCACACTCCCTCACTCCTCCTGCATCTGGGCCACGCCTGGTGCTTCCTCTGGTGGCTCTTTGAGATAGGCATACACCCTCTTCCTAGAAACTCTAACAAAACTTTTCTTTCAATGCCATTAGCTTCTTCGTGTTGTCAACAGTTACAACTACAAATTAAATGTAGATACAATCAAGACATAACTTTGCATGAGAAAAGAGCAGCACCCACATCCTACCTGTTAGTTGCAAAGTTGAGGACAGAATTGTGAGCATGGAAAACATCTCCGGAGTTGTCATGGAAATGAACAGTGAAGGTCACAGTCATTCCCAAAGGCAGGGCAGCCAGAGCCTCATTGTTCCAGGTGTGCAGGGCAGGGCTCAGGGAGACCCTCAGGTAAGACACCGGAGCCACCTTAAGGACAATAAGCAGATACGGCAACTACTGTGTTGGTGAACCCACATCCCAAGAAGAAGATGCTTGTCCCTAGCTGGTCCCCATCTCAGGGAGGACTGGAGGGCCGACCAACAAGGAACAAAGGCCTTGCTCCCCAGTGTCCCAATCTAGTGACAAGGTTCCCATGTCCCTACACAGTGATCCAACTTAACCCACAAAGTTAAAATCTATGACTTCGAAAAATTAGATCATTATTCACATTGCAAAGATATCCTGGACTTTGACTGTTCTGTCCTCAGAAGCCCAGGCTCTATGGCATTTAAAGTAGAAATGCTGCCTGCTTGTGTTGTAGAGGCAGTGTTGAGTGGAGACACTGCATACCTGAAGCTGCTCCAGGGAAAGGACCGATGGGGAAAAGAGAGAATGATGAGGTTTGGGAGTGGGAGCCCAAGAACCTGAGCTCAGTAAAGATCAGTCTTGCTTCTCTAATTCCAGGTGAAATCTACCCTGAACAAAAGCTGGCTCCCCAAAGGCCTGACTTCTTTGATAGCGTTCAAAGGTGCAGTGACTGGTACACAGCTGGTGGAAGTCACTTACACTTAACTCAGAAACTGGGGTGCAGCTTTGCTGCCAGGCACTCACCTTGAAACAAAGAGACATTACTTAAGAAAGTAGGCCTGCAACCCAGGGGAAATTTAAACATAAAAAGGTCATGCACTTCCTGTTATCTAGGATTTAGAGATGGCAGTGATGAGATAAGAAATATATCACATTAAGATAAACCCCAGGGATATTCAAGGAGAAATTCCCCTAACTAAAGTGGGACCCGGGAGGCACTATGATGTGACCAGGGACACAAACCTGAGCCAGGCCGAGGAAGGTCAGTACCCAGACTGACTCTCAACCACTGTGATCTTGAGAAACTCAATTTCACTCTGGATCCTGGTTTTCTTACCCATAAAACATATCACCTACTTCTCCAGGCTGCTATCGGTGTCATGTAATGAACTGTGGGTCATGGTTTAGTGACACTTAACATGTGCCAGGTACCGGCTGCCCAATCCAGATCCTGAGGTGCCAGTTCTAGCAAATCACAGGACTGTGCTGCACCTCAGTTTCCCCAATTATGAACAAGCTCATTGCACTCTATAATTTCTAAAGACCTCTGGCTTGGACAGAAGATGCTGTAGCTTTTTACCTGCGACCTTTGCCCCTGGCTATTCTGAAATAAATTCTTCATAAGATTTCTCAGCTGCAGAGGAATATATTCACTTTTTTATACCTGCAAGGGGATAAATATTACCTCCGCACTACTGCTTTTATTACTCTAAAAAGGAGAATAATGGGACCCTACCTTTACTGCAACAATGATGGTCTGGTTGGCCCCAAAAGGCTCTTGGGCAGTCACTTCAATGGTAGAAGTCCCAATAGTGGACCCTGACACCAGGAAGCCTTTTTCATTAATGTGCACGATGGGAACCTTCTCGAGCCCATTCAGGACACGGTAGCTCAGAGATGCTGTGCCATCCCTTTGGAAAACAAAACAGAGCTGTTTACATGTGGGCAGCCTGCCTCTTTAGTCATTAACAGGAAACCTGATTTGGAAAACCAAAATTTCCAAGGAAATTATCTTTTCCCACTCTTCCAAAAACAGCACTTCACATGGCCAGTCAACAGGGAAACAGACACCACAAGGGCTGATTTTCTTTCATCAGCCACATGGGGCATTTACTGTAAAATTTCAGCCTGGTGTGGCAGAAAGGAGAGAGGAGCTCTGAGTAGGAAGAACCCGAAGGCAGTCCAATCACCCTGCAAATAGCGTGAACAGAAAGCAATGTCCTATTTTCAAGATGAAAACAGAGTGAAATGAGCTACTTGCTCAGAAAATGATCTGTGAAGCCACTGACATCATGTACTAAGTGGAAGACAAATCCTGCAGCATTCCCATCCCTTATACACTCATTAACACCATAAAGAAAGGAAGGTGTGGTACCCTAGCCCCAAGACTCTCCTGAGAGGACTTAAAACAAACTCTGCCTCAACTTTCAACCCCTTCATCAGCTTCTCCTCTTAACCTGCAGAACTCCTATGCATCCTTCAAATCCAGCTCAAGCATCTCTGTGACATGTCTTCCCTAACTCTTCACATGGAAGGCCCGTCTGTGGGTTGTGGCTTGAACATGAAACTTCATTTCATCGTAGCTCTTATCATGCTACCTTTTCCCCAACAGATTCCTTAAGGACACCGTGTGTCATCCACCTCTGTTCCTGGAGTCTGGCACACAGCCTAGCATTTAGAAAATCTGGTTGAATGAATACCATGTGTATGTGTTTCATGGAACATGTAAGTGCTCCTATGGTCCTCACTGCCCCCTATCTTGCAACAGCATTCCAATCCAAGTCATGACTGCCAAAGGCATCCACTTGAAATGCAAGGTAGGAATTACCTTTGCAGAATGCTTTAAAAGGTGTTTCTCAAACATTAATGTGTATGCCCAGTGCCAGAAGATCCTGTTAAAGTGCAAGTCTGGGGTGGTGCCTGAGATTTACATTTTCTTCTCTCTCCTCTCCCCCACAATTGATTAAAAAAAAAAAAAAAAAAAAAAAAATATATATATATATATATATATATATATATATATATAATTTATTTATTTATTTATTTATTTATTTATTTATTTATTTATTTCAGAGAGGAAGGGAGAGAGGAACATCAATGATGAGAGAGAATCACTAATTGATTGCCTCCTGTATGCCCCCTACTGGGGATTAAGCCCACAATCTGGGCATGTGTCTTGACCAGGAATCGAACCCTGACCTCCTGGTTCATAGGTCAACGCTCAACCATGGAACCACACTGGCCGGCCCCACTGAATTTTTTTAGAGAGAGTTGAAGGAATGGAGTTAGGAAGAGGAAAGAGTGAGAAAGAAAGAAAAAGAGAGAAAAAGATCAATGTGAGAGAAACATTGATTGGCTGCCTCTAGCACGTGACCCAATCTGTGCCAGGGATTGAACCTGCAACCTAGATATATGCCCTTGACTGGGATTTGAACACGCCAGGACCTGAGATTTGCATTTTGACATGATCCCAGTTGATGCCATGCAGGTTTGTGGACTACACTTTGAGTGGCAAGTGTTGAAGATACACAGGATTTGGAAAATTTAACACTTCTAAGTTGGTGTTTTCCCCCCTTTGAAGTACTGGATTTCAGCAGCAGACAGTTTCTGGGCCACGAGGAGGAGAAGAGGGCCTGCAGGTCTAAGTGATGAGGAAGAACGGGGATGTCCACACAGAGAGAAGGAGAAATGTGAGGCCACACCCATTTAAAAGGCAATGCCAAGAAAGATGCCCAGTGTACCCCAGGCAGCCACAGCTGCTGACAACTCCGATAAACAAGTTACTGGACCAAGCAAGCACAGATTCATGACCTTGCTAAAAACCAATTGTGTACCTGTTTGTCTGAAGCTTTATAAATGAGTTGGGTGACATTAGTATTTGTTCTGCTTCTATTCCCGGGTTCAGCAGCATCAGCTTTTCAAATACCTAAAACAGAGGTACATTTTATTTCCTATGATATACTGGAATCACGTCTCATATCTGCTGTTCTCTCAGCAGGGAGAGCAGAGTGGTGCACAGATGAGAAATTGCTGCCAGTGAGCACCTGTCTAGCTGGTGATGCATTGGTGAGGGCTGACCGCTAGGAGACACCAGAGGTGGGATGAGGGAAACAGGCAGGTGCATGCTGGGCACCCAGATGGGAGCTGCTTTACAGAGCCAGGGGCATGCTCAACCTCAGTTCCCGGGGGTATGGTTGAGGGGGGAGGGTGTACCAGGATATATGTGCAAAAGGGAACATGGCTAATGGCACTGACTCAACCTCACTGTCAAGGATACAACAGCGAGTGGTAGGGCCTGTGGCAAACTGGAGAGCACAGTGCTGTTAAAGGGAGGATGCTTCTCACCTCCTGCTGATTTTGCCATATGGCAAATGCATGTCTTCAGGATGAGCTGCATATTGGATTTTTATACAAAATCTTCCTATTTTTAAATGTTGGCAACAAAGAAAAAATTGTTTCAAAGCACTAAGTGAGCCAAATAAAACACATCTGTGGGCTGGATCCAGCTTCTCTAAGTTTCTGCTGCACTCAAAACTCAATCCGCTGTCAATGGGGGAAACCAAGGCAGAGAAAAACTGGAAGCTGCAATGCCCGTCTTTAATCCCATGACAGGTGCTAGAACTTCATTCTATTTTAACTAAGAAGAACATGTACTCATGTGTTTATGTATCTGCATGTATCTGTGTTTCTGTGCACATAAATCTTATCTGTTGTCCGTGTCTGTGCACATACGTGTACTGGTATCTGTGTACAATGCTCATGTGAGCCAAGTTGAGACGAGCTGGCAAACAAGCATTTCCTTCTTTGAAAAACTACTTCTTCACCCCTACTGGGATATGTGCCTGGGTTAGAGATGGTTCTTTTCTCCTTGAAGAGGGGGTTTGAACCCATAATAGTTAGGGGGTGCTTTTAGTTTTTCTTTGTCATTTAGGAGTAGCTGAACCCCAGATCAGCAGAAGAGGGTCCTTAAAGCTAAAAATGCTCTTCAGAGTATCAACTCTCCAGTTTGACAGAGGGGCCCATAAGGGCAAAGGAGGCAGAAGAGTGGGTTGGAGAGATGCGGAGGCTGAGACTGGGTGGGAGGAGGGCTGCTGGTCTGGCTCCTGAATAGGTTGTGTACCCTCGAGGGCTGTGAGCAGATCACCTCCCTCTGAAGTGGGGGCTCATCTGTGAAGTGATGGGCCACACCATCTCCCAGGCAACCCCCAGGGCCCACCACCCACTTACTGGAGCTTGAAGGGACACTCACCCTCACCGCTACCTCCCCACCCCCGTGAGGCCCTAGGCTCACTGGCAAGGCAGCTCTTGCCCTCAGGCTACGGGAGTTCTGGGAAACATGTCTAGCGGTCAGGTCCTCTAAGTGCATTTGTAAAATAATTATGTTAACGCCCGACTGGAGACTATTTTCCAGCCTTTTCCTCCCATGAAAGTCTTCATGACTTTTTAATTTGGGAACACATCAAGCTATTTCAGACCCCCAGGTCTTTGGCCATGCCATTCCATCACCTGGCCCACCAGCCAACTCCTCCCTCCCTGAAATGCCCTTCCTCTGTTAAACTCTCAGGCAGCCACATCTCTGGGCTCCCAGAGTATGCCATACACCCTGACCCCGACCCCAGCAGACTGAGAACTGCTCAGGGCAGGGCCTGCCTGTGGCAGTGGAAGGGCAGATATGTACCTTTGTGGCCCCTGAAGACAAGGGCACTGGGATGGCACTTACTCTCCCTCTCACATGTGCTTCCTGCCCACCTGGCTTTTACCTGGATTTGGATCTCATCAGAGAGTTCTTTGGCGAGGCCGTGCAGCTGCCCAGCTGTGGGGTCCAGAGCCTTGACCACCACCCTCAGCCCGGTCCGGCCTCTTACCCGGCCGTGCACAGTCATGGCAAAGTTGTATTGCGATGGGAGCTGGAGTGATGCCTGGGACAGATACCAAATATGTTTTCAGGGAGAGCCCCAGAACCCCAGCATCCCCAAAGGGCAAAGCCAGACAGAAGCCCCAGACTGTTCTCAAAGGCTGCTGCCTTCTTGCCCTGGTCAGACCTGCTGACCCCAAGTGTGCAGAATGCAGTCACCTAGGATGAGCAGAGCGCCCCATACTGAGTTTCCGTGTTCATTCATAGGTGAATGCAGAAAAAGCTGGGTCAACCCACCTCAGCCAGCATTTGCACGCAGGACTTCTCAGAGCCTTTAGTTTGTAGAGGTGGTTATGAATCACCTAGAGGGTCTCTAGGCTTAACAGTGTTTTCCCGCAGAGCCCTCTGTTATGATGTCTGTGAAGAAGTCATGGCTCATGTACCATGGAAACTGCCTGGGGAAGTGCTGGCACTGTGGACAGGACCCTGGCCTACTGGGTGGCCTGGGGAAGGCATCGCCCTATACTTGATGAGCTTTTGGAAGCTTCTAGGAAACTCCATCCCTGGGCCTGGCTCCTCTCCTTCACAAACCCTTCCCTCACTATTCATGGATAAGGCAAGAAGGACTATCCCAGAACCACTTCCCACTCGGGTCCTGTACACCCACGGCCTAACTGGGATGGCAGCCTGGAGTCACCAGGCCTGGCACCCAGTTCCTTCTCCCCACTGGCTCACTGGGCAACCCTAGGTGAGTCCCTTCCCAAGTATGAGTTCCCGTTAACACAAGAGAGGTTTAAGTAAGTTATTTCCAACACTTGCCAGCTCTTAGATCTGAGGAAGGCAGAGGTCCCCCCATGGAGAGTCTTTCGGATAGACCAGGAGAAAACCCCAGGGCTTCTAGCATCATCTCAGAAAATGGGTAGAAGGTACAGCTTAGCAACCCTATGACATTCTAGGACTTTTTTTTTTGCTCCCCCACAAGGCTGTAATTTTTGTTGCCATCTGTAGTAGGTTAGCCATAAACTCCTCTATAGTAGTTAACAAAAATGAGCCTCAAATGAAAAGGGTTGCGCACAGTCCTTGAGCACTATGAGGAGGATTGCTAGGAGACCATATTCCCAAATAAGGAATGAGAGTTGAGAACATACATGGGGAAGAGAGAGTGGTGAGTGTTGGGAGGTGTCTCGAAGAGCCTCAAGACAGAGAGAAAAGGCCTAGGGCTGGCCTCGTATGAAGGTGCAGACCTTGTGTTCAGAGCTGGGAAGAACCCTCTGTGCCCAAATTCTGGCCTTGGATGGAACAGAGGCTCTGGGCAGGTGCTTACCTCATGGTGTCGCCCCCGGATGTCCAGGATGTCCCTCTTGGTGACCGACCAATGGAAGGTTAGGCCTGGCACAGCATTGCCAAAGGAAAAAGGGTTCTGGCTGTTGGTGATTCCAGTGATGTAAACAGGCATCTGTGGGGAAATACCAGGCCTGTGACCAGCAGAGTCCCACTTCCAGGAGCACCCCTGGAATCCCTGGGCACTGCCCCATCTGCCTTTCTATTGCCAAGAGACACTGGTGTCTCCTTTGTGCAACATGAACTGTGTCGACTCTGCCATCACCAGAGATGGGGGTTGTACCAATTAGGAAGGTGTGACAGAAAAGCACCCCCCTCCCCATCCTTTTTGAGCTGTGGGCTGTATTTCACCTTGGCTGAGAGACTTCATGTCTGAAATGACCCCTAGACCTCTCAGGACCTGAAGTCCCCAGCAGCCAGTACACCCTGTCTGGAGTCCTTGCCTGTGCTCTCCTCTCTTCATCTTGTAGGGCCCCTGCTCCTAGCAGTGGCTCCCCTAACCTCATCCTGAACCAGAACTCAGAGTCCCAAACCTTCCAGAGGCTGCTCAGACAGCACAGAGGGGAGGGGCTGGAGAGGGGCCACCTTACCTGGGTCCCTGTCCTCATCCGAGTGATGGGGGCTCGGATCCTCACTGCCTGCAGGAGCTGCACCTCCACCTCCACGAGATCCTGGAGAAAGAGTTTTGGAGCTCAGGTGGGCTGAGGATATGACTGTGCTAGCAACAGTGGTTTTGGGAAGGGACCCCTCTAAGGTAGGAGGCTTCCACTGAAGCCCGCTTAGAAGGCATCCACAGGATGTCTAGCTCAATACTTCTCTTCCAGAGGTGACTTAGCTTTGTAGGTGGCTCACCTCACATGGACCTGGTCACTGCCTCTCCCACTCCCTGGGGGAGAGCCGGGTCCTAGCCTGGCTCTCTGAGCCTACAGATCTGTCGGATCCAGGTGCTCCAGGTCAGCACTGCAGAGACTTGGGGGCAGTGACTGAGGTCTGTTCTTCTCTAGGTTGGGAAGCCCTCACAGTACAGGTCTCCAGACCCTCCCAACTCTCAACTCCAAATCCAGCCTGTTGCTCTCTCTGACTGAGCACAGCAGATGGATAAATGAAAGAGCCAGGCAGAGTCTGATAAGAGCAGATTTTACACCCTCCTTCATTCTGAACTTTATTCTCCTATAAACCTGGCCAAACTTTATTGGCTTCTTCATAGTACTGCTGACCCATGGTGAGTATTGCTAATAAGACCCTTAAGCCCTCATACTGAGCCCATCTCCTGTATCTTGTGATCTGGGCTAATGCCTGGCACATAGTAGGTCCTAATAAGCCCTTATTCTCTTCCTTTCCTTTATCTTTCTCATTAATTGGTCTCCTGCCAGTCTTCGTCCACCCCTTAACCTTAGGTGCTGATTCTTGGATAGAGAGAACTGGAAGCTTCTGACCAGAATCACAATCCCTTCAGGGACACACACATGGACCTCAGGCTGAGCTCACACCTGCCTGGGCTCGTATAGCTTCTCCCTCTGTTAAGGGGCATTAGGGCCTTCTCCCAGCAGCCCCTCACCCCCAACCTGCCAGATGAGAGACAAAAAAAGAGGGGTGGCCCAGAAAGGTTAGACCACAATGAGCTGAGATAGCCAGGAGGAAAATGGCTATGTGTCCCTTTGGCCAAATTTCCAGTCAGCTGCCATTTCTGCCACCTGGAGCCCCAAGAGGGAAAAAGTAAGCCAGTTTCTATGGCTACAATACTCCCTAAAGAGAGAAGACAAGGGCCAAAACCGGTTTGGCTCAGTGGTAGAGCATTGGTCTGAGGACTGAAAGGTCCCGGGTTCGATTCTGGTCAAGGGCATGCACATTGGTTGCGGGCACATCCCCCGAGGGGGGTGTGCAGGAGGTGGCTGGTCGATGTTTTTCTCTCATCAACGTTTCTGGCTCTCTCTCTCTCTCCCTTCCTCTCTGTAAAAAATCAATAAAATATATTAAAAATAAATAAATAAATAAATAAATAAATAGAGAAAACAAGGGCAGAGCCTCCTTGTTCCTAAATCTATTCTCCAAAGACATCTATCTGAACCACGAAGTGCACAAGATAGACTTATATTCCCAACACTTTCTGATATTTAGCAAATTGATTGGCAGAACCAGTGTCCACCTCCACAATTCAAAAGGACTACAAAGTTTAACTGGGGTTTATGGAAGACACTGAAACTTCTGGAGAAAGGAGTAAATCAGTGAACTCAATGTCGGCTCAGAGTCAGTCTGAGGGGAGGAGGGCGCATCAGCCTCCCTCCCCGGGCAGCATGTGCCCCAGCTCCTTTCTTCTCTTAGCTTTGTAGGTGGCTCAGACAAGGAACAGGATGACTGGGTTTTGAAACATTACACAAAACAAAAAGCTCTCCTCAAGCCCAGATTTCCATCACAGACATCAGCATGAGGCAGCCTCCCCTGAGATGCTCTGTAGGTCACTGCAGGCCAAGGTATTAGGGAGAGTCCAAGAGATCTGAGCCCTTCTCAGGAGGTGGAAATGATCTCCCATCTCCTTTCCAGAGGCCCAAAGAGGTACCCACCCCCCTGGAAAGAAGGGAAATCATCACATTTGGGGACATCAACTTTCATGTGTTTGGAGTCAGCCCCACTGACATGGAGCAGTGGGGCTCTCCCAAGGAGAGACCTTCCCTAGCTAGGCTTTCCAGCATCATGTTGACCCAGAAAAGCAACCAGGAAATGTCCCCCACTCAGCAAAGAGGCTTGAAAGACAACCTCTAGTGGAGCCAAAGATATTAGCAGATGATTCCAGTTTTGTTTCTCCTGGAAATACAAATCCAGGCCCAAAATACTGTTGGTGTCCAATTATTTATGCTTTTAAGCCAAGCCTGTGCAAATCTGTGCAAACCCACACTGTAATCCACAACATGTGACAGAGCCAACAGTACCCCTTCTATTCCCTCGGAACATCCCAGCCCTGCTTGAATTGAAAGAACGAAGAGACTGAGACCCCTGCTGTCGGCAGGCCCAGGTCAGCCCTAGAACTGCTGCATAGAAACCGGGGTCTCTAGCAGATTCCTTAGTCCTAGAAACAGGGAGAGGGGCACAACTGCGAGGGTGCTGAGGGCTAAAGTAGGGGTGTACAGTGCTCTGGGAAGAGTCTGTCTCCATAGCTGGCACCATCCCCAGGGCAGGGGCTAGAGACTCTGTCCCTTAAAAAGAAGTTAGGAATTCAGTCTGGAGAAGAATCCAGGTGCCCCAAGTTGGCAGGGCTGACTCAGGTGACAGACAGGGATTGTAGCCTCAGAAGGCAGAAGCAAGATCCTCAGAGAGGGATGGCCCTTGGAAACAGAGCCCAAACCCAATGAACAGGGCTGTCTCCCCTTCACAGATGACCACCCTGCAGCTGCTAGGGTGCAGTAAGCCCCATCACGAGAGTGGACTCAGAAAGCACCCATCTCTGATGGAGCCCAGGCCTGTCACCTGAGACACAATGACGAGCTTTCCGGTCTCAGCATCCACGGCTTGGACGATCCCGGACACGGTGCCGTTGCCAACGGTGAGTCCCTGCACCAGCCCAGCACAGTTCACCACTGCCAGGCTCTCGTTGCTGATGGAGAAGAGGATGTTGGATTGAGGCTGGGGGCCTCCCTCAGAGGTGATCTGGAGTGGGGAGAAACAGCAGTGCCGTCAACCCCTATGCTCCTAGCAGCCATGCCTTGTCTTCAGAGATGAGAGTGCTAACATCCCAGAGCATTCCATCTCAGCACACCTGGAGCCAGGGCAGGGTGTGCGGCTACTGCCTGTTGGTACCTGGCCGTGGATGTGGGTGGCACAAGGATGTGGCCTTTGGCTCGTACCTGCATCATAGCCCCAATAATCAGCGTCATCTTCCTGGGTATGAGCCTAAATGGGGGAAAGACCTGGGTGGGGAGACAAAAGAGAAAGTGGGGACCATTGCATTCCAAGCTCATGCTGTTCGGCATAATTCACTCTTACCATTTTCAGGGAGAAGGGAACATGATGCATGAACATCACTCCTCTGTGAAGGGATACCAGTGAGAGCCTTGGAGTCCTGTGACAACTCTGGGGGAGCCTGAGTAGCTCCCATAGGCTCTCATCCCACCCACAGGCCCAAGACTCTGTGTTTGGGGGCATGTCCTACTGCTTGTGAAGGTCTCCTGGGATTAGAGATGCATTTTCCAGCCCAGACTTGTAGGATCAGGTGGGTCTTGTGACCTGGGAGATTCAGTTTCAAACCACTGCCTTTCAGATTTCCCCAATTCATCTTTGGAAATTTGACTTCCCCAAATTTCTCAAAATTTCTACCTACTGGCAAATTACCTCTACTTCAATGCCCTCAAAACTTCTTAGAAGGTGGGCCCGAGGAGTAGTGAAGAGGATGCCCAATCTCTGTAGCAAGGCAAAGCCCCACATCTTCCTCTTGTTCCTCAACCCCCACCTGGCAAGAGGTGAGTAAAAAAGCCAATCGGCTGAGAGGCTGCTTTGTGTGTGAGGAGTAGACTCAGGGCTGAGCTATTCATAGGCAGAAATGAAATCCATTCCACCAGGAGAAAGGTGCACTTCCATGTGGAGGCACAGTCCACATCCACCAGCATCAGACACAGACTGATTAACAAACAGTGCATAAGCCCATGTGTGGCTGAGACCCTTGGAAAATGCCAGCAGTAGCCAAAAAGTCTAGTGCTGCTGTTGAAGAATAAAGTTGGACAGGACTTCTTGGTCATGGCTGCCTAGGTCCCTGGTGACTGTGGGGGTCCGGTCAAAAGCTAATACCATATGACAGCCCAAGTCACTTGCTGAGATGATGCTGGGGGGACCTCAGAGCTTCCCTATCCAGTAGTTGCTTGCTCCAGGTGCTCCCATCCCAAAAGCTTGCCCCTTCTAAGGGTCCCGTCTAACATTCAGACTGACTGCCAAGAGGAGCAGCTTCTGCCTGGCACTATAGCAGCTTAGAGTGCCCTGCCATTACCCTGCTGGGTAGTAAGATGCTTTCTTTCTCTGAGCCACATCAATGTCCCCATGCCCCAGAGAGAGATTAAAGTAGCTAAGCCCTTCCTCTGGAGCTGCCCTCAGCACCCTGAGGCTGGTAATCAAGGCACACTGTAGGGCACAGATTCTAAAATGGCCTATCACAAAAAGGCTGGCCTCCCCTCTCTACCCATGTGCCCACTAGGGGCGGGGCTGACCCCATGTGGCATGAGGAGGAGTAACTTTACCTCAATCTGCTGTGGGGCTGAGTTGATTCTCTGTCCAGTTTTATCAGTCACAACTGCAGTGAGACTTGTCTGGCCAATGGCCACACCATGGATGTGGAATGTGGCAGTGTAGTTGTCAAGGGCCTCATCAAGGGAGCTGGAACAGAGGGAAGGGCTGTTACTTCTCCCCCAGACAGACCTGTCAGCACCGTCCCTGAGTTGCTTTGTCCTGACCCCTGGGGAACTCACACCAATGTGACGATCTGAGAGGCCGCTTGGAGCTTCAGGTCCATGAAGGCAAAGTATTTGGCCAGGAAAGGCTTCTTGTGCAAGTCCAGCACACGGACATATGCCTTGACTGTCTTCCCAATCTCCACCTGTATCACAAGGGACAGATTCTGGGGGCTTGAAATGACCAACTCCACACTTATAGCAACCTACAACCTTCTGAGAAACGTCAAACCCACAGACCTGGAAATTAGGGACAGGTCACCTGGATTGACCTACAGACTATTGGCCAATCAACAAATGAAAATCAATGGAATAATTGCTGTATACAAGGAGCCTTGGAGATACTTAGATGCAAAAATTATACTCCCAACTCTTAAAGAATTAACCATCAAATTAGATAAGGCGCAGCTTAGAATGGCAGCCGATGTACAGTAGGAGTTCAATAAGTGCACAATGACTGAATATCTCACTCCTGGCAGCATATAATACACACAGTAAGAACTTTAGGAAATGGGAGTCAGAAATGCTAAGTGAAATCTGGTCAGCAAATCACTAGTGACAATGTGACCACAGGAGGAATATTTGAGGCTGTGGAAAAGAACATTGGCTTTTTAAGTTGTCTAAGCTGCTCAAACACTTCCCTTTTAATTAACCATTCTCTCCACTCAGAAAAATAGGTACCAACAGTAACTCTCTATAAATCTAGCTACTTTAGGTATTTGAAGTATAAACATTTCCTATTTACATTAAAGAAAAGCCTAGATTTATTATGTATTTACTATTCAAAGACTTTGCATTAGTAAGCTTTATTCAATTGTCAATGAAATTCCTGAGAATCCAAAAGCCACATAGTGGGGAGAAAATTTCATGTTCCACAAGGTGTGTACCCAGCTGGCTAGTGACCTGCGCCAGCTGGAAGACAGGAATCCCTGATCAAGGCTGATGTGGAGACAAGTTCAAGGGGGATTTGCAGCCAAGCTTTATTGCTGTCAACTGGGCCTAAGAAGTACAACCTCAGAGCTTATTCTGCACTATGTACACAGAATAGCAGAAATGAGAGACAGCAGTACAAATTCATAGCAACTCAGGAAGGACACAGAAACCAGTAGAAAAAGTAAAGAACATGAGAAAAATATCTCCCATGGCCACAGCATCTTCCTGGTTTCTGTGAATCAGTAGAGAAGGGGCATATCAGAAAGCTGACACTGACCTTGTCTACCACTCGGACGTACAGCTCCTGAATGTCTGAGACATAAACATCAGCCTTCGCTGGGGCTGGGAAGGTGAGGCACAAGTCGTGGATCATGATGGTTGACATGCCCGGGAACAAAGGGTATACCTGTAGGGTCAGAGGTGGGCTCAGTTATAGCTTTTCACAGCAGCAGGCTATCCCCATGGAACACCAACTCACAGAGACCTCTGGGACAGGATTGGAAGTAATTAACAGAGAAAATCCTAACTCAAATGTTGCCCTTCCCACTCAAAAACCTGTGGGGGAAGAAAGGTTTCAGACCCTAAGGAGACAACCAAATATGATTATCTCACATCTAAGTTAAAACCCAAAGAGTGAGTCCAAATTCTTAGCACATCCTTTAAGAACCTGACACAATCTGGCCCCTACCCATGACTCTAATTTCACTGAAAACCACAGTCCCCCAGCACAATCACACTGTAGCCACACTGTTCTTTCTGTGCCTCAGAACTGACCGGCACCTGCCTGCTGATCTCAGGTCTGCACTGTCTTTCCTAAATAAAGATTTGGGATTCTTCTTTCACAGCTTCACCTGCTGGCCACACTTATGTTTCAAGTCCCTATTTAAGTATCGTTTCAGGAAAGTCCTCACTGACCCCAGACTGGCCAAGTTCCTGTCACCTCTGCTCATTTCCAGTGCAGTTATACCTTCTGTAATTCAGTCTTGGTATAGACCCTTATTTGTGTCACCCTGTTCCAGGCTGTCTTATCCCCTACTGTATCCTCAGGACTGAGCCTAACATCTAGTACATACTATCACCCAACAAACTTGTCTTCATTAGATCAAGTTCCATGGGCATAGCTAGCTGAGCCACTCAGTTACCACAAAGAAACTGGATGCTCCAACCTGCTTGCTTAGTTTTACTTTTATCTTGAAGACTTGGGAATTCGGGGGGAGGGGGCGGTGTCTGCAAACCCAACTAGGGTTGGGAAGAGTTGTTTCTAGTCCAACACCTTCAATGTACACATGGGGAAACAGGCTCACACAGGATGAGAGCACAGCCCTGTATGGGTAGCACTGGTGAGGGAATCCAGGTGCCTAAGCTCCAAATGTAGGGCTCCAACCACATCACTCTGCCACTTCCAGAGCTGATACCTGATCTAATTAGTCAAAAACAGCAGTTTGGGTCCCCACCACATCACCACGCATACTACTCAGTGAGGCAAAATCCATTGGGACCCCAAACGCTGCAGCTGACACCTGCAGGACCAGCTCCATGGGAGAAGAAAGTGCAGCTCAAAACAGGGTCAATACAGTGTGAGACTCAAGACAGATCCAGCCTCTGGGCTAAGAAATCCCTGGCCACTGGAGTACAAGAGGATTCAACTTCTCGGACCTCAATCACCTTGCCTAGGACCAGAAAGGGACAGTGACTCACATTCACTTGAGCAGCTATCATGAGGCACAGGGTAGACACATCAGGGACCAGATTCAACAACATCAGAGCAAAATCCAGTGAGCCACACAAAGAGCAGACCCAAAGCACCTGTATAACAGCTGATACAACGATATTGAGGATGAAGCTCACTGGCATCAAATCAGAGGAGAGATCCCTCCCACAAATGGGACATCAACAATCAAGTCCCAATTATAACAGGAGAGCACAAAGAACACACATAAGAATCATTCCTAGAGTATCCAGCTCAGGTGAACAAAGAGACTACGCAACTGGATTCCTAAAGACACTTTCTATATAAGGCCATTCCACAAAGACTGGGAGGGAGGCATAGCAATTCTATCTCATATATCGAAGCAAATACAAGCAGACAGGTAAATGGGGAGACAAAGAACTCTCAAATGGGAGAAAAGGAATATCCAGAAAAAGATCTAAATGAGATAGAGGCAAACAACCTATCAGACATAGAGTTCAAAGCAATGGTTATAAATATGCTTAAGACCAGCATGGCTCAGTGGTTGATCATTGACCTAGGAACCAGGAGGTCACAGTTCGATTCCCAGTCAGGGCACATATGGTTATGGGCTCAATCCCTAATGTGGGGCATGCAGGATGAAACCAATCAATAATTTTTCTCTCATCATTGATGTTTCTATCCTCTCTCTCTTTCCCTTCTTCTCTGAAATCAATAAAAATATTTTTTAAAAAATATGCTTTAGGCCCTAACCAGTTTGGCTGAGTGGATAGAGCGTCAGCCTGCAGACTGTAGGGTCTCAGGTTCAGTTCTGGTCAAGGGCATGTACCTACTGGGGATGTGCAGGAGGCAGCTGATCAATGGATGGTTCTCTTTCATCAATGTTTCTAACTCTCTATCCTCCTCCCTTCCTCTCTGTAAAAAATCAACAAAATGTATTTTTAAAAATATGCTTAAGGAAAACTTAGTGTATATTTCAACAGCATGAAAAGGGAAATAGAATTCCATTTTCATGCTGAACAAGACAGGAATGAAGAATGAAATATCTGACACTAAGAACACACTAGAAGGGATTAAAAGTGGCTGAAGCAGAGGATTGAATCAGCGATCTGGAAGACAAAGTAGAAATAAATACCCAATAAGAGCAGCAAATAGAAAAAAGATTTAGAAAGAAGGAAGATAGCTTAAGGGAGCTCTGGGACAACATGAACCCAAAGAGACACATACTTAGACACATCACAATTGAAATGGCAAATGTTAAAGACCAAGAAAGAATCTTAAAGGTAGCAAGAAAGAAAGAGAAAAATTACATACAAAGGAATACCCATTAGAATATCAATTTACTTCTTAAGAGAAACACTTCAGGCCAGAAGGGAGTGGCATGAAATATGAAGTACTCAAAGTAAAGAAAAGTAAGGACCTAAATCCAAAACTACTGTATCCAGCTAGGTTATCATTCAAAATTGAAGGTGAAATAAAAAGCTTTCCAGACAAAACATGGCTAAAGGAGTAAATTACCACCAAATCAGCAATGCAAGAAATGTTAAAGGCATTGCATTAAGGGGGGAAACCAAAATGGCGACATAGGTAAACACCTATACTCGCTGCCTCCCAAAACCACATAAAAATTACAACTAAAAGACAAAACAACTATCGTATTTTCCGGCGTATAAGACGACTTTGAAACGAAAAAAAGTCAACCGAAAAACCGGGGGTTGGGGGGGGTCGTCTTATATGCCGAGTATATCCCGAAAAACGTCTGGATATGCTGCTAAAGGATTTCTCGGTCAAGTTCATGGCATTGCCATTTGTGAAGAGACCTTCCATTTATCAATGTATGGTATATTACGGTATGTTCAAAAAATGTCATTCATTAAAAATTTAATTAAAAAAAGAACTGGTGTTGCCTCACAAGTGGGGGGGTAGTCTTATATAGCGAATATAGGCCTAAACCTATGTTTTAACTGTAAAATTAGGGGGTCATCTTATAAGCCTAGTCGTCTTATATGCCAGAAAATACGGTACCCTGTTTCCCCGAAAATAAGACAGTGTCTTATATTAATTTTTGCTCCCAAAGATGTGCTAGATCTTATTTTCAGGGGATGTCTTATTTTTCCATGCACTAGGTCTTATTTTCGGAGGATGTCTTATTTTTGGGGAAACACAGTATCACCCAGAACCACAGGAAAGCTGGCTGAGTGGAAGTACTACAACTAGAGAAAGAAAGCACATTGAGACTGATATGAGGTATAGAGGTGCAGAACGGGATAGACCAGCACCCACATGTGCCACTTTTTTAATTGGTAGAGAGATCGAATCTTCGGAAGCTGCCTGGAGGACCAAGGGCTCCAAGTCCAACACCAGCCCCCAGCCCAGGGTCCCAGAGCTGGGAAAAGAAGTCCCTATGGGCCATGAGAACTATGGACTGTAAAAACCAGTGTGGATTGGGGCTGAGTGACACACAGATTGTTGAAGACCCAGGTGCTCTTCTTAAAAGAGTGGCACCATGAACTGAATTTATAAGTTCTCATTTCCTCTGAGTTCCAGTGCCGGGCAAGGCTCTGGGAGACCTAGACACATACAGGGAGAAAATGGACTGTCTGGCATCTGGACAGGAATGCTGATGCAGTTTTCTTCAAGATGGAGGTGCTTGCAACAGTCATTGTTCCCGTGCTGAGACCTCCTCAGTGCATGGCTGATTGACAGCCATTTCTGTTTGCTCCACCCTGGTGATTCCTTGAAACCCCACCCCACCCAATTTACAACCCTACCCAAGCTGTGGGCAGTGGCTTTTGCATATGAACAGGCAAAAACTGTTAAATGAGCTGCAGCTGGGTTAGGAAGCTGCCAACATATCAATAAAAGGCCCCAAAATGGCACCAGCACCAGCCTGCCTTTCTTCACAGCTCAGCCTCATCTGGGCACTTCCAAACTAAAGAGGAGGAATCTACAGATCTCTCTGTAGCTCCAGGCAGTGGCTGACTTTGCACCCCCCCTGAAGACCCAAGAGCCAGTATACCAGTGGTCAGTGTGAGACCGTACCAGATCACAACTCATCCATAAGTGACACACTCAAGGGGCAGATTCAGTGAACACCAAAGTCCCACTGAAGCAAGTCCTGCCCCATAAGGGTGTCTCCTGCACAGCAGCTCTTCCATTGTAGACAAGGTTGGTCCTCAAAGCCAAGTGGCCTGGAGATAAATTCCTCCCAGTGATACCAACAGCAATCAAGGCTCAACTACAACAAAACTACACACAGCCCACCAAGGCATGCACCAAGAGTGATAACCTCAGGTGATTGGGGAGGCTGAGCCATTGGGCCCTATAGGACACCTACTATACAAGGCCACTCTATCAACTCAAGGAGACTTAGCAGCTATTAATACCAATTACACAGAAACAAATACAGGGAAGCAGCCAAAAATGACGAGACAAAGAAACATGTCACAAATGAAAGAAATGGAAGAAAGCAAACTACTGGATATAGAGTTCAAAATGACAGTTTATAAGGTTACTCAAGAAGCTTCTAGAAACCTCTGAGGAACTTAGTGAGACTTTCAAGGATCCTAGTGAGAATGCAAAATAAATAAATAAATAAATAAATAAATAAATAAATAAATAAATAAAATAAAAAATAAAAAAATGGGGGGGGGGAGATCAGTCAGAAATTAAGC